CCGTCACAGGAGAGCCCCTTGCCTCGTTGCACACGCCGTAGATGATCGGGCGCGAGTCGGATGATTGTGACCAATCGTTTGTCATGTGTGCAATGGTCGACGAGTACGAGCCGTGCGTGAGTTTGTTGTCAATTATCGACCACACACTCCGATCGCGGAAAGCCACGCCGTAGTAGTTATTCACGTGCACGACGTAGGCGGTGCGGAACTCGTTGTCGCGGTGCACCAGCCAGCTGCCGCCGGTCACGGACAAAGTGGCTGCCATGAGCATGGCAAAGCTGAGGCGGAAAGTGTTGCACACGATCTGCAGCACGCTGCCGCCAGCCACCGCAACATCCCTGAACCCACACGCGCCGTTATAGTATTCGGTGCTCGGCGCACTCCAAGAGCTGTTCTGTATGGAGAACACGGAGCCGCCGCTGACACGCAGGTCCGACGCAAGACCGTGCATCACGTGCATCTGCGACACGACAACGCAGTTGTCCATGTAAAAGGCGCTGGACAGGTTCACGTCAAGGCTGCGCTCCACGAGGATAGCCGCGCAAGAACCCCCGCCACACGCCAGCGTAGACCGCGTCATGACAAACCGCGTCGACAGAAGACGGACGCCGTCCAGGACAAGCGCAGAGCCACACCTCAATCCCGCATGGCCATGGGTCGTCGGCACGTACCGCGACCCGCCAACCGTCGTACGCAGCGTTGAGTTCGCCAGCAGCACACTCGAGTTCGGCGGCATCGCGCCATGCAGCACGAACGTGCCCTCCAGCGACGTCACATTTGTCATGTTGACGAGGGCGTGAGGCATCGAGAGCGCCGTGCTCTCGCTGAGGCCACCAATCCGCAGCTGCGCGCCGCCCGCAAGCACGCAGTGGCGCAGCGTCACGTTCAGAGCGTCAGCGAACGCGTCCATCGAGCGCAGGTCCACCGCCACGGTGATTGGCCCGCTGAACACCACCAAGTCGAAGCACGCCGTCGCCCGCCCACCGCCAACCGTCACGGACTCCGTCAGCGTCACACCACTCACGCAGTCCTGCGAACCACCACCGGCCCTCGCAGGCGGCACGTCGAACGGCAGGCACGCCTCGCCCACACCGCCGGCACGGCAGCTGCACGCGCAGTCAGAGAACGAAGCCGTCAGCGCATCGAAGCACGCCAGCGCGGCCGCACAGCCGTCGCACGGCACCACGCTCACGGAGGACAGGCCGGCCATGCGGTAGTCGCCGCTGCTCTGCAGCACCCGGCCGCCGGCACGGTTGCACTGCACCGACACGACGCCGCTCGTGATCGCCCGGCCGGA